TGCACGAGACTAACACACATCTCGAAACATAAATCGCGTCCAATGCAAATCGTCGAGTTCGCGGGGAAGTCTTCCTCGTAATTTATACTGTCAGACAATTGGTGATGCCCGTGTCCACTGCAATGCGGAACGTTTCGGTATTAACACGTCTCAATTTATCAGTCAATGCTCAAGGGAAGTCCAACATCTCAATCCAAATTCACCCTTACTTTAAGGAAACAATTAAACAAATTAAGCAAAAATTAAATGAAAGGTTCAATAATTATAGAATCCCACACCTCTTGTTATCCGTTAGTTTTTTATTTCACGATAACTTCAATAAGAGTGACCATCTTATTGACAACTATTTCTACTATCACCAGCTACCCATATATAATATACATTTGCATGTAAATTTATGCTTATTTGTAAATCAATTTGAATCTATATACCTTTTACTACGAGTGCGGAATTATATAATATATAATAATAATATTGCATGAGTTACAATATTTTATTGTGCGCATTGAAAAATCGGGAATAACAAAGACCCAGCGTCTATATTTGGTAGTTTTCACGTGGTGTGCACCAAAACTTTTTCATTCGTATGTAATAATAATCGTAATTATATATTTCTCGAATTTTTTTAAGGAAGAAGATTCGAGTACATCTATGGAAGACGTAATAGTAATCGTGCAGGATACATTGAGCCCCTCGGCGTGTCCTCCCCGTGGCGTGCCCGCCAGGCTGTTCCGGAAGTCGCGTGTCGACGTGGTTGGAAGGCCGTGGGTGGTTTCCCCCCCCACTTTCTTAGATGTTGCCCTGCTACGGGCACAACCAACACACCTAAAAATCACCGCTGTAACGTTAACTGGTTACCCTAACGAACCTCCTCCGATTGGTCGATCCCTTCTGCAACACAACTTGAACACACAAACGTTAGGCTAAAACCACCCCCGGAGTTCTATTCTCTTTTCTCCCTCATGCTCTGTTGTGATAGCTCTTCAGAGCCGCGAGGATAACGCTAGTGCACACAACACTTTTCAAATCTCCAAAATTCTCCTGCCTTTACCTACACCCATCAACCCACCCACCACATCAACCCAAGCAAAACACAGTTTCCCACTTTACTTATTTCCAAAATCAACGGATTTTTTACTCGGATAGCGCAGTTCTTATCGGAGACTAGTGTATTTTTGTGGCTGATGGAATGAAACTAGTGAAATTCCAGTGCATTACTGGACTGGTGATTAGAAAAAAAAATAGCGGAGAACGAGTCTCGACCCCGGACGATACCCACCAGTGAAATACGTGTGATCCAAATAGGAGTGATTGGTCTCAGTGTTGAAAAGCAATTTATAATCACAAGAGTACAATTAATCATAGGCTGTGACTGCTTGAAAACCATTTGATTAATTGAGATTGATGTAGTGATGTAAACAAATTGACTTGAGAGATGACACAGGTTTACGATGAGCTCGAACGCTAAGAAAGGTGGTAAGGATGATAAGAAAAATGCATCGAGCAAGGAAGAGAGTCCGAGTGGAAAGGAGGACCCGGGATCAGCATCAGCTGGGAGTAATGGTCTGCCAAGTGCTGAGCCATCACAGCCTGGAAGTAAGCCTGGCTCTGCTGGGGCAACCGCCAGAGAAGCTGCTCAACGTCTACTGGGATTGGCCAGCCGGGGTGAATGGGCACCGGTTGACCAGTTGCTCAAGACGCTGGAGAAGGCGGTCCAGAGTGCTGGAGATGATGGCAATCCTGTGCCATTGGCGGGTGTCATGGATCCAGTCAGTATTACAGGAATAAGTCGGGACAGAATGACAGAGCTGGTCAATTATTAATTGAATCTTTTGTATTGTCAGACCACGGGCATGACACCGCT